CTTTCTCTGCATTTCTCGGGCCGCATCTCATGCATCAGGGCTGGTTCCTTCATTCGGGAAGCACTGATGGTTTATCCTAGACACAGGGAGGAAGTGCTGGAGATCGTTCCTGCCCTTGAGCTGTTCACACTCCGTGGGGAGAAACCAGTACACAGTTGGTTGATTCTTGGTCTTGAAGGTTCCACAGGAGGGACCCAGCCTCTCTGAACGGGGTGTTATCTGAATTTCAAAACAAGTCACGTAACCCTGTGGGTTTTGTCTTTGCAAGCCTGCACTCCTGGCTTGCGATGCATTGCACGCCTTGGATTTGGGTCTTCTCTGTTTCTCCCAGATCGCAATCACCAGCAACCCAGAGAAACGCTTCAGGTTGAGTTACCGTCTGTTCTTCTTGGTGGACTAGAAGTCTCCTGGGAGATGTTAGGATCTGCCTTCTCACACCTGACATGTAGACGTGAGGGATGCAGGCTCTGCGCCTCTCAGGCAACAGGGGCGGAAGTAATGACTGCGGGCTAGAAAGAGGAACTTTGGGGATAAATATCAACGAAGATAATGGTGGTCTGAGTAACTGCTATATTGTCGGCTCACACACTGCTCGTAGCTAACAAGTCTCCCGGGCACGGGATTCTCAGCAGCACAGCGCACCGATCCGCAGTGAGTCGAGGCAGTGGCTGTCTGACTTCCATACTTTCATGGTGTTCGATGCCCCTCCTAGAGTCCCCAGTCCGCCATAGGGGGCAGTAGGCTCTAGTAACTGATCATTCAAATATATTAAAGCCTGAGACAGTACTTCAGTCCAGCCGGCCAGGGTAGTTTCATCTGCTGCTAATTCAATCTGCTGCCTCACTACTCCATTCTTTCCTCCTATCCACCCTGCTGCTTGCGGGTGAGAGTGGAGCTAGGATTTCCATTCAATGTCATGTGTCATTGCCCAGTCTGTCCACCATGACCTTTGACATGGGATCCTGGTCACGGTCTATTGGATGAGGGCATCCACATGGGGTACTCAGTTTCTCCCTTCCCCGGTGATGGCAGTCTGGCTTGCGAGGCGACAGGGAAACTGCTGGGCAGGGTCAGATGCCCGGGGCATCTTCAGAACCACTTGACCCGCAAGCTGGACCCAGGCAGTCAGAGGCTCCCAGCCCCCCAGGCCTTGCAACGTGCATTCCACCTGCTTTCCCCACTTCCAGAAGCTTCTCAAAGGATAGAGCCTTAAGATAGGGATGGGTTGTTGGGACCATCTGGACGCCTCATGTGACTGAACCGAGTTAAGGCCTTTGCATCAGTGTTGAGGATTCTGGTGGGCGGGTGCAGAGGTCATGCCGAAGAGCTCCGAGTTCAGCCCACCGGCCGCTGTGGTTTCTTCTTGCCTGAGGTGCTCCACCAGGAGCATGTGGCTCTGTGGGGAGACCGGGTTTCTGCCCCTCCCAGAGCTGGGACCCGGATCCTAGGGCGCTGCCCCCTCTTGTTGTCTCTGCCACAGCGTCTCAGGTACATCCAGGTCCAGTGGTAGCGCCACTTGGGAGGTGCCCAGAGCGCCAACCCGCTTCACTAGCGGCTTTTGCTTTCTCAAGGGCGCCTTGCTGCTCCGATCCTCAGTCCCATGCAAACCCTTTTTCAGGTGATAGAAGGGACAGAGGCATCATGCCACGTGGGGAAGACAAGTCTTCTAAACCCCAAAATCCCTACAAAAGCTTGACCTCTTTCTCATGCTTGGGGTTGGGTAAACTTGTACCTTATCAATCACAGCTTCTGGGATGTCACGAGGCTTACCCAAACAGACGACTTCCAAAAGCTTCACAGATGTGCCTGGGCCTTGGATTTTTTCTGCGGGCTCACACCCATCCTCTTCCTCACAATGCTCCAGCAAAGCCGGAAGGGTGTGTGGTCCAGAGGGGGTCTGCACATGTTGACATTATGTCATCAGCATGATGGGCCCTTGTCACTGATGTGAGGGAAGCACAGTGACCTAGGCGACCATCCCATGACATATGGTGGGGCTGTGCAGGTGACCCTGGGGAAGCACTTGAGAGGTCCGTGCCTGCGCTTCCCACATGCAGGCAAATTGATCTTCTGACAGTAATGAGCACATGCTGCCCAGTAACTCATACATGGAAAAAGGCATTTGCTAAGTCCAGCCCGGCATGGTTCACTCCTAGGATCTTGGCCAAGGCATCCAAGATGGTGGCCATGTTGGGTATAGCCATGTGGATGGGGGGGCACCTTTTTCAGTTCCCAGTGGTCTGCCGTCATCTGCCACAAGCCACCTGGCTTTTTGACCAGCCACTTCAGGCTATTGAAAGCACTTTGGGCAGAGTGTCCAGAGCCCACTCAGTGCGGTTCTCGGATGGTCCCTCCTGTCTCCTTATGTGGGAAGTTTACCTTGTCTGATGGTCACCACCTTCCATGAGGGCAGCTGGCTTACTGGTTCCCAGGTGACATTTCCCTTTGGCACTGGTTTGGTTTCTCTAACCCAGAGGCAGAATTCACTGATAGAGATTTGCAGAGTTTGACCTTGTAGGATATGTGTGCCCATTATGCTCTCTGGTGTTGGAGAGATTAAAAACCTCAAGGGATGGAAGCACCTGGGTGGCTCAGTCGGCTAAGCTTCTGACTCTTGAGTTCAGCTCATGTCATGATCTCATGACTTGTGGGATCGAGCCCCATATTGGTTCTGCCCTGACAGCACACAGCCTGCTTGGGATCCTCTCTCCCTCTCTGCCCCTCCTCTGCTGGCTCTCTCTCAAAATAAATAAATAAACTTTAAAAACTTAAAAAATAAAAACTTTGAGGAACCTGGGTGACTCAGTCAGTTAAGCATCCAACTTGGCTCAGGTCATGATCTCACTGTTTGTGAGTTTGAGGCCCGCGTCAGGCTCTGTGCTGATGTCAGAGCCTGGTTCAGATCCTCCATCTCCCTCTGTCTCTCTGCCTCTCCCCTGCTTGTGCTCTTTCTCTCTCTTTAAAAAACAAAAACAAAAACCTAAACTTTAAAAAAAAGAATAATAAAATAAAATAATGGTTGAAAATAAATAAGTAAAAATAAAAACCTCAAGGGACAGGGGCGCCTGGGTGGCTTAGTCGGTTAAGCGTCCGACTTTTGCTTAGGTCATGATCTCGCGGTTTGTGGGTTCGAGCCCCGCGTCGGGCTCTGTGCTGACTGCCAGCTCAGAGCCTGGAGCCTGTTTCAGTCTGTGACTCCCTCTCTCTCTGACCCTCCCCTGCTCAAGCTGTCTCTCTCTCTCTCTCTCCTAGAAATAAATAAAAACATTAAAAAAAAAATGAAAAAAAAAAAAACCTCAAGGGACAGAGAAAGAAAGTGAGCTTTCTCCTAGGAGTTTTGGGGGGATAATTGCTATTTAAAAATTCCCTTTATATTAGGGGTCAGACGGTACGGGGCACGTCATCTATTTCACTGTCTGTCACCACAACGCCTTCCTCTTCACTCTGCCCATTTTCCCCAGGATTCCACCTGCTCGTCCCAAGCAGGCGTTCTCACCAGTGCTCGGACCTTAATCCCCGGCGGCTCGCATGCTCCCAACTTCACACGTGACACAGGATGGCCTCCAACTTATTATCCTGCTCTCACCTTGTCTGCCAGCCCCGAAGCCAGCAGAGCAGTGGGCACTGCACGCCCTTCTCCAACCTCAGCTCTTCTTCCAACCTTCCAACTCGAGCTGCAGCCTCTAGTTAAGCATGAGCAGCTGCGACACTGCCCACGGTAGCACCCAGCATGCCATGCGGCCCATCGTGGCTCTTCTCTGCCACTGAGTGCTCTGTGCTGTGGCCCCAACAAGCGCATGGAGCCAGCCAGTGGACACTGGACATGCCCACGCTCATGGCAGTCCACAAGCATGGGACCTGCAAGCCCCACGTGGCGGCTGACAGCCAACTCAAGATTTCCCCAGGAGACACCTCTTTCCCAAGGCTCATGTCTTCAGTCTCCTGGCCAGCTCATCCACTGTTGGTTGGCATCCTTGGGGATTCTTGGGGGGGAATTCTGGAACTGGCCCCAAACATGGAAGGCACGGAGAGAGGAGAGATGCAAGCCCCTCTAGATTGGTGGACAGTGAGGGTAATAAGGAACCTTGCACACGGGGCTTGTCTTGTGTGCTGCAGGAATAGTAGATCTCTGCACCTGCCCACCAGTATCTTGAAAGCTCACATGAAGACCTTCATTGGATTCAGTCGCATGTACTGTCCAGATGGTCTCAACAACACATCACAATCTTAAGGCTGGATTCTTGGAGAAGCTTCTGGGAGTGGGGGAAGCAAATGGAACACACACTGCAGGGACTGGGGGGCCGGGTGACTCCGATCGCCGGGGTCCAGCTTGCTCGTCAACTGATGGTCATGTCCTCTTGATGACCTCCTCCAACGCAGGTGCTTTATTGTCTTATCCCATATAAGTTTCACAGCAATGTTATGAGGTGGGAACTATTATTATTCCCATTTTCCAGAGAGGACAACTGAGGCCAGAGCAGGTAAGAAAGGTACCCAACATCACGACCTGCTAAGTGGTGGAACTGGAAGTCTGTTTCCCAGGCCTGTGCCAACGAGAGCCAACCAACCATGGGGAGGCCCTCAGGTAGTGAGGTTTTCATCACTGGAAATTTTCTAGAAGAAGGAGACAGGGGGCATTTGTGGATGCCTCCCCAGCAAGTATACCCCCAACAAACTCTGCTTTCCATTTAGGCATCTGAATGGTGCTGAGAGAGACGAGCGACCCTTACTATCAGGAAGAACCTGGTCAGTTGGTACACAAATTGGCCACTAGGGTCCCTGGGCTGCTTGAGCAGAGCTCCCTTGAAGCACCTGACCTCAGGGCTTTTCGCTGTAGGTTCTGACTGGGGGGTGCTGGTCAGAAGGCAGAGGGGAAGACGTCAGGGAAGTCAGTAGTAATGGTTGGCAGGAAATCCGTTTGTCAGACAGACCTTGAGGGGAAGGACATCAACCTTTCGGGGTAGGAGAAAGAAAACAGTTTGAGAACACAGGCAGAGCTGAAGTCTTCTAACCGCTAGAGGAAGCCGGGGTGAGCTGCAGGGACAGTCGACGGGGTGCTGCAGCTGCCTGCTCCCCCACTCCGTCTGGACATGGACCCCCCTTTATAATATAGCATCAGAACTGAGAAGAGCCACAAGCATGTGGATGCCCATCGTTAAGGGGGCGGCGGCCAGATGAGCCGGGTGGAGGGGAAACCTGGGCTGGGGTCCAAGAGGTATTTGTGCCGCAGCAAGAACAGTGTTGTGAAGGCGAACACGGCATTGCGGGAAAGGGTGTGTGAGCCCACGGCCTCACGGTTCCTCAGGCTGGTGGCGCCTCCAGCTGCCTCAAGCAAGGCTGGTCACCCACAGAAGACGGGGAACAGCTTCACGTCTGTGAGGCATCACCTGTGCTAGCTGTTGGCATATGTTCTGGGAAGACGGGCCTGGATGGATGGGCGGCCCACACCTGGGGGCCCTCGGAGGGCTGGCCCGGATCCCTAACAGCCCAACCCACCCCCTCCTGCTCCCCAGTGTGGACCTGGGACAGGGAGCCCGCAGGTGCCCACACTGGTAAGCCAGACAGTCTCGTTTATGTTCCTTGCAGACCCAAACCTGATGGATTTGGCTGAAATCTGTCTTCCCTCTGCCAGGGATGCTATCAAAGGAATCACCTCATTAGAAGGTGGGTCTGGGGACCTTGGTTTCACCTCTAAGACTAGTATTTCCTTAGTACGATTCAATGTGATGTGGTTTGTGTTTTTCATAAGGCAGGTGCCAAGTATCTTGAAAGACACAGTCTTAATGATTTCATCCTCACAGACGTGTGCGAGACAAATGGCTATAGAGCCTTTTCACCTAAAGTTCTGCTCTTTCCGACCACCAGTAGGATCGCGGTCAAGGGTGTGAGATCGATGCACTTGGCCATGCCCGCCTCCAGCACCTTCAGACAGTCAGTTCCAGGAAATGTCTTAAAATTTTATACGCAATACAAAGAAATTGTTCTCATCTTGGGTTTAATATGCAGTAAGTGAAACAGCGACCTTCTAATGGAGTGCTCAGCTTTTATATGTTGGAACAGATGTCATAAATTATGGTTATTTTTAACAAGATTATGAAGATTACCTAAATCACTTGACAGTGTAAGATATCCTAGTTCAAAGTCACGTGTAATATGCCTGCAAAGGTATGTTATAATTAGTGCAGAGAAGGTAATGAAAAATTTAAATAGAGTTTTAAGTGCACAGATAGATGCTTAAGTATGTAACTCACAACTCATTCCTTGTAAAGCTCTGTCCTAACACGTTTCTTGATCTTGACATTTTCCAGCGTGTTTCAGTTCCTGAGGATCTGCAAGAGTGGAGGGTGCAGAGAGCGTACCTGGGCAGGGGAGGGGAACAAAGAGGAGGAGCCCATATCCTCACAAGGATCAGCCCTGAGCCGGAGGGACTCTGCTGTCACGGTGAAGATGCTCAGTTCCACCACGAGAGGGAGCACGTGCTACACAACAGAAGCGCAGTTAGGGCTGGAAGGGAAGGGGGAGAGATGGAGACAGAGACAGAGAGACAGATGCAGAGATAGAGAGTGACACAGACCCAGAGACGGAGACATACAGACAGAGGCGGACAGACAGAAGCTGAGAGAGACAGAAAGAGAGAGACAGAGACAGAGAGAGACAAAGAGACACACACAGAGAAAAGAGACAGAGGGATAGAAAGAGACAGAGAGCCACACAGAGGGATACAGACCTCGAGACAGAGAAAGAGAGACATAGAGAGATCGAAGCTCAAGGTACAGAGAGAATGAGACACAGGGACACAGGGCAGGAGGGGACATTTGCAAGAGTCCCAGAATATAAGGTAACAGAAAATGTCCACAGACAGGAAGGAAAGTCCCCTGTGCTCTTAATGGAGTTGGATTGAGGCCCAAGTGATTATTGTGAATCCTATTGCCAATCCTCAAGTAAAGGCTCTAATCAACTTTTGCAAAAGATTTCTCTAGAAAATAAGCAAAGCTATCGTAATACTGTGGGTTTATAACCTTAGATTATATTAACAAAGATCAAGGTATGAAAGTGGGGAATGGCCATGGTTTCCATGGGTTGGTTGTAGTCAGGGTTTATCGTCAGTTGTTTTTTTTTTTTTACTCTGAAAATAAAGAAAGATGAGTACAAATACAGCTCTGTCAACCTAAAAGTAAAAGCTAATTGAATTAAGAACAGAATGTCTTGTCTTTCAAATATAAGAGAAAGAAAAAAATACATATACATTGCATACATAAGCTATCAAAAAGATAAAAAAAAAATGAAGAGAACTAAGAGTCCCCAAAGAGAAAGTGTGAATCCACATGGCAAGAATGAGTGAGAAAGAATTGTTTGAAGACTATAATTAAAAAAATAAGACTTAGGGGCGCCTGAGTGACTCAGTGGGTTAAGCATCCGACTTCAGCTCAGGTCATCGTCTTGAGGTTTGGGAGTTTGAGGTCCGCGTCGGGCTCTGTGCTGACAGCTCGGAGCCTGGAGCCTGCTTCCGATTCTGGTCTCCCCTTCTGTTTGTCCCTCCCATGCTCACGCTCTGCCTCTCTCTGTCTCTCAATAATAAATAAAAATGTTGAAAAATTTAAAAATAAGGCTTAGATCAAGTTTTGACAAAAATGAGCAGTTTCCTGCTTATAATAGGTGCACTTGAAGCAACACGTGGGTGGAAGATGACAAACTCAAGAATGGAGGATGGTCAAAGACACATCCAGCAAGAAGACCAAACCAGAAGTTGGGAAAACTGATGTCAGGCACATGGGCTTCTCTGTCCTCAGATGTTGGTTGATCTCATCTATTCTCAGGGTTCTAGAACCATCACAGGCCAGTGACTCACCCATTTGCACCCCCCCTAACCCATACAGCTGATTTGTGTCTGCTCAGACTGTCTCCTGGGGACCACAAACAGCCTGTGCAAAGCTGCACACTTGATCTGGTCTGCTAAACCTTGCTGCCTGGAGTCTATCTTATTTATTCATTCAACACACACAGACACAGACACAGACACAGACACAGACACAGACACACAGACACACACACACACACACACACACACACAGTTTATCTTTTCCAGACAGAGACTGGGAACTGACCAGGGGACACTCATCCACATTCATACAATTCACGTTTTTGTGGGAAAGATAAAAGAATGAACAAATTAACAAGATAATTTCAGAGATTGATAAACCAAGAGCATAGGGAAGCCCAGGACCAAACTAAAAAAACAAAAATGTGCTGTGCTTTTCTTTTCTAGACGTCTAATGATTCTGTTGGAAGGGATTCCCCTAAGTGACACTTGTAGGACAGAGTGTGTAGATTAGGCTGCCTAGGAAGATCTCTCTGAAGAAGCTACGTTTCAGCTGCTGATGGAGAAGCTCTCATTCATTTGCTCATTCAAACAGGGAAGACATGACCTTGTCAAGCAAAGGGAACCGAGGGACAAAGGCCAGCATGTGGGAGTGAGCTGGGCACGGACACAGAGCTAGAGGAGAGTAGCTGGAGATGAGATCGGAGAGTTTGACAAGATGATGTCGTGCTGGCCTGAGATCTACGTGTCGCTCGGCAAAGTCTATGTTAGGCTGCAGTAATAAACAGCCCCCAAGTTTCAGTGGGTTACAATAAAGGTTAATTTCTTGTTCACTCCTTAACTTCACTGAGGTCAACTGGGGATTCCGTGTGATTGCCTTCACCGTGGAATCCACGATGACAGGATGGCCTCCAGCCTTGGAATGAAGCACCACAATGCATTGTCACTGAAGCCTTCCACCTTGTGGCAACACACATCACTTCTGCCACATTTCATTGACAAGTCCTGCGGCTCAGCCAGTGTCCGAGAAGGTAAGTGTGCTCTGCGGGGAGAGGAGACCGCTTGCAAACAGCCTAAGCAATGACCGTACGCAGGTAAAGACTGAGTTTTATTCTAAAGCAATAGGAAAATATTGGAGTATTTGAGACGACGACTGACACGATTTGGTTTAGGTCTATAGAAGATGCTCCCTGTGGGGAGTGGCTATGGGGAGAATGTGAGACGGGTGGAGGACAGGAGGCAGGGAGGCTCCCGGGGGGGGGGCCAGTGGAGGCTTAGCCCTGGGCGGTGGCCAGGATGGGCAGCACCTGGGATGACTGTTGAACTGGAAATCAGAAACCTGGAGCCCACTCTGGCCGCCGTCCCTCGCCTCCCCCGCCCTCCGGCCCACTAACACGCTGGAGTTCCAGTCCACCTGACTTAGCTCCGGCCAGTGCAGCGTCAGCTTCTCCCCTGCTCTCCCGGCAAGATCTCCACGTAGCCCCCAGACCATCTCTGTGGTGCGCCCGAGTTGTCTTAGCGTGGACACGGGGTCCCCTGACCCCCTCTCGCTTAAAGCCCCTCGTTGCTCCCAGGATAATCTCCTAAGTCTGGAATCTTCGTCCACGCTCATTCTGCGGCCCCTGCTCCCACCGCTGACCCCGCGGCTACCGGTCCCCCTACAAGGGCCTGGACCTGCAGGTGCTGCCTCAGCCCTTCACACCAGCTCTTCGTCATTTGCACAGCTCCTCACCCCTCCCTGCTGGGACACACATGCACACACTCACACACACTCACATACACGCACATACACACACACACACAACCACACACATACACATAGTCACACATATTCAGAATGCACACACACTCACACATGCACACACACACACACTCACAGACATGCACGCACACAGGGCCACACACATCCACACATAGGCACATACAAATAGTCACAAATCACACATGCACACACAGTCACACACTCTCACACATGCACATACCATCTCATATATGCACATATAGGTACACACTCACATACACTCACACGCCCACACACTCACACACACATGCATACACTCAGGCACATGCAATACCCTCACACAAATGCACATACATGTGCACACACTGGCACACTTACACACATCAGCACACATTCATACATGCACATATGTGTGCATATACCCAGTCACACATGGTCACACACACGGCTACACACTCACCCACATTTACATATGTTTACACACACATGCACATACAGGAGCACAAACACCTTCACATGCGCACATGCAAAGCACATGCATTCACACACATTCACACACTCACACACATGCACACACATACACTCACAGGGTCACACTGTCACGCATGCACACATACATATACACACACATGCACACATACACACACTCACATACACTAGATACACTAGCACATATTCACACAAACACAGAGGCACACAAGCACACATACAATGTTCACACATTTGCACATACATACACACTCACCTACACGCACAAGGCCGCGCTGTCACATATGCACATATACTCACACACGCGCAAATGCACACACACTTGCACAGATACACACGACTCGCACACACATGCACACGCGCGCACACACACACACACACCTGACCACCTCCGACTCTTCCTTCCCATCTCAGCTTAACCATTTTTGTTTTTGAGAAGCCCTCCTTGGCCATCCCTTCCCCACAATCGAAATCAGACCCCCAATCACGTATTTTTAGAGCTCGCCAGACTTTTCCTTCGCAGGGCTTATTGTGCTTTATGACTGTCTTCAAATTACTGACTCGCCTGAGCGGCTGAGGCGTCAGCTCTGGGAGAAAGCTTCCCACGGAATCATCGGTGCCCAGTGGGGCGCCGGGTGCGCGGCTGGCCTTCGGCGCCCACGGAGTAAGTGAATGAAAGCAGGAGTCAGAGCAAAGGTAGCCAACCATCCAAACACCCCCCAAAAGAGGAAGGGACTTAATCATAATATAACCAGGAAATGGGGAAAAAATGGAACCATTGGGTATTTCTCATGAAATGTTTTGACTGATGGGAAAATGCTGGTAACGAGATGTTACGAAAAATAAAATGGAATTCAAACGCGTGTCCGTGCACACCTGAAGGGGCCTATTAAGCCAGGAACGCAGTGCGGTCTGAGAATGATTACGGGATGAAAGGCATTCTGCTTTTAAACTATACAGAGTATCCCTAACCGATGACATAAATGCAATTTTGTATCAAATAAATTATAAGCAGACAGGATCCTGATACTATCTTCTAGCCTCCTTTTGTCTAAGTCGTAGGAAACACTCCATTTATTTGATGTTAAAAATCCTTACCAACCAATTCTAAATCCTTCCTGCTACATTTATTTCCTTTGTGTCTCAGCTTCAGACAAAGAAGAAACGGAAAAGTGGCTCAGATCAGAGTCCTGCAGCGGCCCGGCCTGAAGAAAATTCGTGTCATCCCCGGCGGCTACGGAACGTCACACTAACAGGGGACGAGGTGGCCTCAAGCCCCCGGCTCTCCAGCTCGGCCAGACACCAAGCAGGCAGCCTTCAGCCCGAACCCCCCCCTGAATTCACACGTACCAGAAGGTGGCCTGGGGAGGACGCGGCGCCGTTGTAGGTGAGCGCGCTGTCACCTGTATTAATAGAGAAGATGTGAGATCTGGCAGAAAAAGGAACCGCGAAGTGACTCACTTGTAAAATTCTTGCATCAGCTGGTGCTGAGGTGGCCTCAGTCAGCATTGGAAGTCACTGGAAATGTCTCAGGTTGATCAGAGGCCCCTGTAAAAATGTGTCCCACTCCCCACCCCCAGTGTTGGGTGCTTCAGAGGCCGCTGTGAGTGGGGCCCCAGCCCTGGCTGCAGTGACGGGCCTGGACACGGACACGTGGAAGGGACAGGTCCACAGCGAGGTGGGCCAGCTGGGTCCCCAGCAGTCAGGGCAGGAGGTCAATTCTTTTTTTTTTTTTTTTAATGTTTTATTTATTTCTAGGAGAAAGAGAGAGACAGCGTGAGCAGGGGAGGGTCAGAGAGAGAGGGAGTCACAGACTGAAACAGGCTCCAGGCTCTGAGCTGGCAGTCAGCACAGAGCCCGACGCGGGGCCCGAACCCACGAACCGCGAGATCATGACCTGAGCGAAAGTTGGACGCTTAACCAACTAAGCCACCCAGGCGCCCCCAGGAGGTCAATTCTTATGAACAGGCTCAGAGAGCTTTTTTTGGGAGGGAGTCTCTGGACCCCCTTTGCTCAGACTTTCCATCTGAGCACATACTTCTCAACAGCACTTTCAGGAGCAGTGGAGGGGGGGGGCTTCTCTCTACAGTGGCCCCCACCCTGGAGCGCCATCAGCCTTCACAGCCAGGCACAAGGTGCCACCGAGTGTCTCTGAGTGGGGCGCTTCTTCCCCACATGGAGGAAACTCTGGTTTACTGGAATGAATTCTATTCTTAGGACCTACCAAGAACGCTCAAACCTCTCTTTCTAAAGAAAACCTTCCTAATATATGAGCAGCCCAGAACCTTTAGGCATTAGTTAGAGCACATGGCGTCCCCAGACTGAGTTTTGGATTGCAGAGGCAGCACCCAGGGTTACAGGAATGGGCTTCAGCGTCAGGGGGTCTCTTTTGAACCTGGAATTTGCCCAGCTGTGCCACCTTGGCCCTGTCGCCAGCATCTCCAAGCAGCAGAGATTTCCCCTTTAAAATCAGAATGAGCTCCTACTTCCGAGGGTTGTTTTGAAGCTCCAGGGGAAACAGGAGTAAATGGGTAGACAGCTCCTAGCACCTGCTAAACTCCGCGTGTGCGTTTGGCAGGAAGTTCACGGTCAGCTTGTGCAGTGCGCTTTATGTGCATCCATCTCAAATAATGGCTGTGCCTTGATCTGACTCACAAAGGAGGCCAGTCATTCCCTTCATGCCCTGAGCCATTCAAGGAATGGTGCCTTAGGCTGGACAGGACCTTCTGGGGGCCATGGTCACACGGGCGGCGACATTTAGCTTGGGACTCCGTAAAATCCCTGTCCTTCCCGTGTGGAGCAGTTAACCCACGCTCTGGCATCAAGTGGAACTGGCAGATGCATTGGCTGTGAGTGCCAGCTGTTACCTGCTTCTCAGTGGCTCCTCCCATTTCTGCTGGCCCCAGCGTGTGTAGACCCCATTATAGAGTATGTAAGACATCACCCCAAATTGGACAGACGTGGGTTCTAACCTCTCTTCCCTTCCCCCGCCCAGTCTAAGTTGCTGAGAGACCTGGAATGTGAGCACCAGATCCAGAACCCCCAATGCTCATTCTAGTGGTGGATGCTTATCCTTCAAACTCCTTTCTCTGGATGGGTCAACCGGGCAGCTAGGGGTGCCCCTTGGAGGAGTGTGCTGCTGGGCCATGGATTTCCAGAAGGACTGCGGTGCCCCTAGGGATTTTGTCAAATGCCTTAGGGCACGTGGAGAGTGATCTCCAGCACTCCTGCGGGCCCTCCAGACCCACCGGGATGTGACCCACAGACACTGCAGTCCGATTTGTTTGATCACATCCTGCTGGTGCTACTAACCCCCTGGGGGTCCTGGGTAAGTCAAGTCCCTTGTTCAGATTGTCCCTGTCTCCCTGCGTCTTCTTCCTGGAGACCCTGTACTGGGCTACTGTTTCCTGGGATTATCTCCGGAATCCCACATGGGCTCCAGCCCAGGGTTCACTCCTCCCTCACCTCACACACAAGGACCCTGAAGCCTTGACTTGGCCACCAGCCTGCAAGTCATGGGGCCAGGCCCCCGAGCCTGCCCTGTCTGACTCCTGCTCCCAAAGCTCTATTTTAAGAATTTTATTTTGGGGCGCCTGGGTGGCTCAGTCGGTTAAGCACCTGGCTCCAACTCAGGTTATCATCTTACGGCTTGAGTTCGAGCCCCGTGTCAGGCTCTGTGCTGACAGCTCGGAGCCTGGAGCTGCTTCAGATTCTGTGTTTCCCACTCACTCTGCCCCTCCCCGCCCCCCCCCCCCGCCCTCTGTCTCTCTCAAAGATAAATCAACATTAAAAAGAGAATTTTTTTTATATTTGAAATGTATTTTATCAAAGTAATTATGACAAGTACAGATTTTTACAGAAACCCAAAAGGGTTAAAATTATAACAACAACAACAGCAAAATCAGGCCTCTGCCTCCAGGCCCCGAGTCCCTGAACCACGTGAAACTCTCTTGCTGTTTCTCCAGCTCTATTTTGTCGCGTGTCTACACTGCGTGCCTGTGTTGCGAATTCCTAATTTATTCATTTTTAGACATGACCTACGGCCTCCCCAGTGAACCTCGCCGTGCAAGACCTCAGGGCACCATGTTATGTCATCTCCCTTACGGCAACCCTGTCCTGTGTCTGCGTCAACTTCTGCTGCCGGATCAACACCGTAGGCTCAGCACTTTCCCCCCATTGCTCTAGAGCCTGGAAGTTTGAGAGCAGGGTTCCGGTGTGATCAGGTTCTGGGGAGAGCTCGCTTTCTGGTCTGTAGACAGATGTTTTCTCTCCGTTACCTAACATGGCCTTTCCTTGTGTGTGCAGAGAGGGAGAGGTCTCTCTCTTTGTCTTCTTATGAAACCACTAACCTCACCACAAGGACCCCCTCCATGACCTAATTCAACCCTAATCACCTGCCAAAAATCCTATCCCCAAATACCATTGCATTGAGGGTTAGGGCTTCAACTAATCAACGTGGAGTGGGGTGGGGGACACGCTTCAGTCCATAACACCCCATTAATAATGCCTAGTTGTTGGGATAGTTTGTATTATTGAAACTCTCTAGATGGACATAATATTTACCTACAACTTTTGATTTCTGATTTTCTTTCTTCTTTCTTTCTTTCTTTCTTTCTTTCTTTCTTTCTTTCTTTCTTTCTTTCTCTTTTTGTAACATATTGTGTATAATTGTCAGGTAAAGAACTACACTGCGCGTTTGAAGTATAGTGTTTGTTAAGTTCGGACACACGTATATACCAGTGGGACCATTACCATGCTCGAGATGGTAGACATCCTCATCACTGCTAGATGGGGGGCACTTTGCTGTTTCTTCTTCCTGCACCACCACCCTCCCATCTTCTACCCATCCTCAGGCCACACTCTTCTGCTTTCTGTCGCTGTAGATTAGTTCGCATTTCTAGAATGATTTCTGGAATCATCCGGTATTTACCTTCCGGGGTGGCTTCTTTTGCTCTGCATGAATATGTCGATACCCATGTGTGTTGTTACACGTATCAGTAGCTCATTCCTTTTTATTACTGAGTAGGAACCCATTGTACAGAGAACCATGATCTGCTTATCGATTCACATGGTGGACATTTGGGGATTTTTCGAATAAAGCTGCCATGGGGCACTTGGGTGGCTCAGTCGGTTAAGCATCTGAATTTGACTCAGGTCATGACCTCACAGTTTGTGAGTTCGAGTCCTGCACTGGGCTCCCTGTTGTCAGCACTGAGCCCACTTTGGATCCTCTGTCACCGTCTCTCTCTCTCTTTCTCTCAAAGAAATCTTTTTTTTATTAAAAAAAAAAAAACAAAGAAAGCTGTCATGAACAATTACACACAAACCTTTGTGTGGACACCTGTTTTCTTTTCTCTTAGGTAAACACTTAGCAGTGGAATGGCTGGGTTATATGGTAGGTGCCTGTTTAACTTTTTAAAAAACAGCCCAACTGTTTCCAGAGTGATTGTGCTCTGTTTACACTCCTACCAGCAGTGTGAGATAGTTCCAGTTTCTCCACATCCCTGCCAACGCTCAGTATAGTCATTGCTTTTTTTTTTTTTTTTAAATTTTTAATGTTTATTTAATGGTTATTTATTTTTGAGAATCCAAAGCAGGCTCCAGGCTCTGAGCTGTCAGCACAGAGCCCGACATGGGGCTCGAACCCATGAACTGAGAGACCATGACCTGGGCCAAAGTCAGATGCCACCTAGGCACCCCTAGTAATTGCTTTTAATTACAGCTCTTCTGGTGGCAGTGCAGTATTAGCTGACTATGGCTTCAATTTGCAGTAAAGAGCCCAAGAGCTGAATTATTAACCACAGGACCATCTCCTCTCCCAGCTTTATGTGCCCCCAGAAACTTTATGAGAATTTTATTTATTTACCTATTTAGTCTCCCAAGGATTTTGAGGACTGAGTGAAGTATCCATTCATTCATTCTCTGCCCCATCTAATTGTTACCTCCTGTGGGTACATTGGAATTTTAGTAATAGCTATCTTGGAGAGAGAGGATCATTTTTCCTAGTTTCTGTAAATTTAATTTATGTCAGTAGCTGTATACTAGCGATTGAGTCCATGAAAGAAGTCAGAGAATATCTGCAATGTTGACACTAAATTGTCAGGATGCCAGTGCCCAAGTCATTGTTTGCTTGTGACCACTTCTGCTACTCAACTCAATCACATGTTCAGGAAAACAGGAGCATTAGCTCCTGGCTGCACTTCCCTCCAATGACAGAAAAAGCAGAGCCATACCCTTAGACAGCTCCTGGACCAGAGGCAGATAAACATCTCATGTAGGTGCATGGGATAGTGGGGTCTTAGAATTGGAATGGCGCTTGGATTGAATCAGGGAAGTTTTCCTAGATTGGGAGATTTTTAAAAATATTTTTA